TTCCASATGAAAAAAGCAGATTAAAGATTCTCTGTACTTCCCTTGGAACCACAGCCGTGACTTCGGCTTCAACTTGCCACGATGCAAGAAGCAAGTGTTGCCTTTCATTGTGGCTTCAGCATTTTCTTGAAAAGACATCCTGCAGGCTCAGTGGTCAGAATCCTGACATCAGGAGTGATTGTGTTCTGCAAACTCTTTCAGTTTATGAATAAATAGGCATTTTCTAGTGGAGAGATGTTTCCTAAAACAAGTTCCTGTCAATAAATACCACAGACATGTATAGCTGCWGTGAGCAGGAGATGTTATTCCTGTGCAGAATCAAGTGGGGAGGAGATTAAGGAACTCTCCATCTGTTTCTGCACTGTGCAGCATGTGGGGTATTGCTCAAAATCTGCTGTGCTGTGTTTGTCAGAGCCTGGGGAGACAGAGGCTGGCACAGGCGKGGCAGGATGGAGCTGGACACTCTGACTCAGAGCATTTTGTAGCTTGGGGAAGCAGAGGGGCTCAGGAAAATCTGTCAGCAATTGAAGCATATGAATGAAACCTGGTTCTGATGCCAGATTTATTCTGCAGGCCTTGATGGACCTAAAAAAGCACATTAGACAAAACCATTATTGAACTTGATTACATAACAATTTCCTCATCGTATTTCCAAGAATATCGAATCTACATTCAAACACCCTCCTACTCTCTCCCACACACCACCCCTTCTCCSTGCTATATCAGCTTCATTACTGAGTATGGAGACAGAAAAAGTATAGGGCATGTTGCCACAAGCAGAGAGATCTTACCCTGAGATTTTAGAGCCATCTATGGGATTGGGACAGCAAATTCTTATTCATTTTAATGGTCTGGAAAATCTCCTGTCTTATGCCTTCATCTCAGCTAAGGTCAGTGAAGAAAGTAACCAAGCAATAAAATCACCAAACTCAGCACTGGGTTAATCCCTGCTGCCTAAAGCTCAGCCCTGTGTGCCCCTGTGGGGTGGAAGGAGCAAACCACTGCCCACAAACTGCTGTGCCAAAGAGAGATGGGACAGCTCTGGGCATCAGGAGCCCTGTTCCCCTGAGGATTCATCCTTGTCCTCCCAAAGGAGAAATCATCAGGAGCCCTGTTCCCCTGAGGATTCATCCTTGTCCTCACAAAGGAGAAATCTCGGGACAGTCTCACCCCGCAGCAGGATCGGGCCCAGGGCAGGGGGATATCTCCTGGACGGTTCCAGGTTTTTGTCTGGTTTTGGAGGGGTTTTGGAGGAGGTGGGGATGAAAGGCTTGCACACATGGTACATCCATCTTGCCTCAGGAAGCAGCAGTTGAACAAACTGGTGACATTTGCTCCCAAAATCAGCTGCTTTGTCTCATTTGCATGTGTATAAACCAGCATGTAYGTACAATCATGCTAATCACTTCAAGGACACCGCTTTGAATTCATCCAAAACCCTGCCCTGCCTGTCCTTGGGTTATTTTGCTTCCACAAAGGACCCACAGCAGCAATTCAGAGATTCCGTTTTTGTGAAACAGCCAGTTTAGTGGAGGAGAAGCTTTTTGCTGAAATCCTGCCCTTATGTGCTGAGACTGGCACCACAAGGCAGTGCCATTGTGAGGAGCCCATCCAGTGTCTTCTGCAGGTAACCTGATGGATATTTTCACAATTTATGATGGATATTTTCACAATTTATGATGGATATTTTCACAATTTATGATGGGTATTTTCACAATTTATGATGGGTATTTTCACAATTTATGATGGATATTTTCACAGTTTATGGTGTGCTGCTCCAGGGAAGATGTGAGAGTCAATACAGAAGCCAAGAGGAAGGGGACTGCAGTTAATGGAAATGGTCTGGAGTTGTGCAGGGGAAGGCARTGTTAAACCCTGTCAGCATTTGGAGATCTCTGGAACAGGGACTGCAGGTGCTTTATCCWGTTTGACAAACAGCTGGAACCCCATTCTCTGCAGAGGGGTTGTTTCTGCTCGAGTCCAGATTGGTCTCATGGCTGTTCTTTTTAAAGAGAAGTGAACCTGGACGAGCAAAGGGAGGAGGAACAGAATAAAAAAGCTGTCGGTGCTGCAGAGCATCCCTGGAGCCTTCCTGGGAGTGTGAAACTCTTCCCTTCAGCTTTGTGTCTCTCATTACTGACAGTGGAAAATGCAAGAGCTGCCAAGTGAGAGGTTCAGTACAGCCAAGATGGGAAAAACCTTATTAGAGAGACAGATGGTGATTTCTATAATCTGAAATCCTGACTGTAAATACTTTGGGACAGAGCTCTGTGCAMTGAACAGTGCTGATGGCTGGCACAGCAGCTGGATCCAGGGTTCTGTGTACAACTGCTCCTGGGTGGCTTTTGGTGGATGGGGAATGCCACCAGGACAAGGTATCCCTGACAGAAGGGAAAGSATTCTCTAAACTCTGCTGGAGATATTCCCTCCAGGTTTTTGTACTTTGCAGTTGAAAAGTGCCTTGAATACCTGAGGACAATCAACTCACATTTAGAAGTTTTTCTCAGCCTGACAAGATCCCAGAGATGTGATTGCAGCAGATGAGTAAGGGGGAAAATCTCGTTGCAGCTTGTGGGAGAAATGATAAAAGTCTRTCTCTCTTTATTGCTCAGCTAAATCTGCTAAACCAAAACCAAATTTTACCCTTAGATCTCCCAGTTTATTTATTTATATTCATCTGGCATTGCCTTGATCTTCAAAGCAGGAAGGTATATCAAAGGAAACAGAAGATTTGACACCAATTACTGCTGCTGGATGCCCTTCACTGCATAAAGATGGAATGTTAATATTTACACTGGAAGTGAAGGAGATAAAATCCAACAGGAACATACATCTAAGCCTACAAATGAGCCCTTCTGTGTATAGTGGGCAGAGATAAAGCCAGGAAATATAATTGCAATCACCATTGCAAACATCCCAAACACCTTCAGAAACAGTGGGTTGTAAACAAAGAAATGACAGCGAAACCACCAGCAGGGTTTTCTAGGAAAGGAGATCAGGCTGCATCTCAGGGTCACTGCCTGGAGTCCAGAGATGCTCTGTTAAAAGAAGTTACCATGCAGAAGTAGTTAACATCTACATTTCCCACACTTCACCATTTTATTCTCTTGAGTTTGAAGCAGCTCAAGCACTTTTCCCTGTCCCTCTCTGCTCCTCTTCATCCCGTGGTTCTTCCTACACCTTTGAACCCCTGGGGTCTTTCCCAAAGCCTCTTTGGCTCATTGCACAGGTTCTTAGGGGGTTGTTTGTATTTCAGCAGCAAATTTAGGGAAGAAGAAGGACCAAGGAAGGGGAAGGTTCGGGGAGGGCGTGCAGCAGAGCAAACTACAAACATTTTACTCAGTCTGTTTAAGAAGCAGAACAAATCTTCACAGCATTTTTCCTAGGAACAACAATTCAGTARCTGCAAGTGAGGCTGTTCTAAAATTCCCGTGCTAAAGCATTGCATAAGAGGCTGTTTACTGCATGCACCACTTCCACGTAATCCAATTTACACAATGAAAACAGAGCCTTTGATGGAGTTAATTTCTGTTTCTAGTGAAATCTCATTCTTCAGATTAAATTACTAGTTCTGCAGTGTCATGTGCAAATCCCACTTATACAGTACATTTTATTAGGTTAAAAAGTAAATGGACTTATAACATTGATTTGGAAAGTATTTTCTCAACAGCAAATGGATTTTAAAACACTTGTTGAAATCATACTTTGAAAAATTGAAACTCTTATCTTAAATTTGGGGGAGGGGGTTTAAGGCTTTTCTCCTAAAACCATAGCCTAAGTTTGTTACAGGAGCTTAATTCAAGTGAAGTTTCCAGCCTTGTCTTTCAGCCCTGGAGGAGGTGAGGTCCTTTTTGAGAAGAGCACAGTGTKGGGCCTGCATTTTCTCACACCAGACTTGTTGCACTGTTTGGGGACAAAAGTTCAGAAGTTTGCTATTCCTGCCTGTTGGGATATCTCTGCTGGGCTTGGCTGAAATCCATCCAGAGTTTCTTTCTCCAGTGCCTCAGGTGGTGACTGGATATTGTGGTGTTGTMAGGCTGGCTGAGAAAGGTTCACTGGGAAGAAACCTAAATTCGARTTGTATTGGCACAGAAGTGCATCACATTTGCAATTTGTGATGCAGAACTTTTGTCATAAGTTTTATAATTCATTGCATAATGCTGTGGATCAGATCATCAGGCACATACATTGCAATTCCCTTCATGCTGCTTTTCTGTCAGGCAGGAGAAAAGTGAGTGTGAGGGACAGGCTTGCACTGAAGTGAAGACTGYTGGTCACATGTGTGTGTGTTTTGAAATCATTGTTGTATTTTGGCAGTTACCTAAGAAACGAGATATAATCCCACTCCATTAATAAACTGGAAAAATAATTCACTAGTAGAAAAAACAGTCCTCAAATTGTCTGTCAGCTTTGCTCGGATGTTTGCTCTCTCCCAGAATAGCCCAGAGCTCAAAATGCCTTAGAAAGGTTGGTGAAGTCTTCATGTTTTTCACAATCGTTAAGTTTCAAATTAGAGATGAGTCATTAACCAGGAGTGTATTAATTGTAGCTTATGTGGCAGAATTGCACACATGTCTCTAATTAGCCATCAGCACCCAAATTACAGCAGTAACTGTGTTAAATGGGGGCCATTGCYCTGATCAATCACAGCTGCATTCCTCCTTGCTCAAATTTCAGAGCCTCTTGTCCAGATGGGCCTTTTTGGGCACCTAATTAGTAGTTAATGAAAATCTCCTGCTGTGAGTGGCTCCACAGCCCTCCTGGCATCCGAGCTGYTCCTTCTGTGTCCTGCAATGTGTGCAGGTGAAAGCACAGGAGTTGAAGTGGRTGCTTTATCTGCCATAACTAAAGCAGCTTCCCCAWTAAACTCAGCTCACATTGKTTGTGTGCAGAGTGAAATGATTTTGAGTGTGTGAGTGCAAATACAKCCATGTGCTGACAGCAGCGAGACAGCCTCCTGTAGTCCGAGCTTAACTCCCTGTTYTCTCTTTCCTTTCCAGATTTTGGCAATCATTTCCATCATGTTTATTGTACTATCTACAATTGCCTTGTCCCTCAATACACTTCCTGAACTGCAAGGKGTGGATGAATTTGGGCAGACCACGGATAACCCGCAGCTCGCCCACGTTGAGGCGGTGTGCATCGCCTGGTTCACCATGGAATACCTCCTGCGCTTCCTCTCCTCGCCCAAGAAATGGAAGTTTTTCAAAGGCCCACTGAACGCTATMGATTTGCTGGCTATCTTACCCTACTATGTCACCATCTTCCTCACAGAATCCAATAAAAGTGTACTTCAGTTCCAAAATGTACGAAGAGTGGTCCAGATATTTCGGATTATGAGGATACTCCGGATTCTAAAGCTCGCCCGGCACTCGACGGGTTTACAGTCCTTGGGGTTTACACTGAGGAGGAGTTACAATGAACTTGGGTTGCTCATCTTGTTTTTGGCCATGGGCATTATGATCTTTTCCAGTTTAGTGTTTTTTGCAGAAAAGGATGAGGATGATACAAAATTCAAGAGCATCCCAGCTTCTTTCTGGTGGGCAACAATCACCATGACAACAGTAGGCTATGGAGACATTTACCCCAAAACTCTTTTGGGTAAAATAGTAGGAGGGCTGTGCTGCATTGCTGGTGTGCTGGTGATAGCTCTTCCCATCCCAATTATTGTCAATAACTTCTCTGAGTTCTACAAAGAGCAGAAGAGGCAGGAGAAGGCCATTAAGCGCAGGGAAGCTCTTGAAAGAGCAAAAAGGAATGGCAGTATTGTTTCCATGAACATGAAAGATGCATTTGCACGTAGCATTGAACTCATGGACATTGTGGTTGAAAAGAATGGAGAAAGCATTGCCAAAAAGGATAAAGTTCAGGACAATCATTTATCTCCGAGCAGATGGAAATGGACCAAGAGAACACTCTCTGAAACTAGTTCTAGTAAATCTTTTGAAACTAAGGAACAAGGATCCCCAGAAAAAGCCAGGTCATCTTCAAGTCCCCAACACCTGAATGTCCAACAGCTCGAGGACATGTACAACAAAATGGCAAAGACTCAGTCCCAGCCAAACCTTAACACTAAGGAGTTGGGTCAGCCTGGAAAGCAAAAGGAAGAGCTGGAAATGGAAACCCTTCCCGGTCCCTTGGTGCCCCTGCTGCCAACTCGCACCGAGGGCATCATCGACATGAGGAGCATGTCCAGCATCGACTCCTTCATCAGCTGTGCCGCAGAGTTCCCCGACTCGGGGCGCTTCTCTCACAGCCCTCTCACCRCCCTGCCCTGCAAGGCTGGGGTCARCGTGCTGCAGGAGCAGGGCAGGGTGGAGGGGACCAGTGCCAGGTACGGGGAGATGAACCCGAGCTCTGACAGCAGCCACCGCTCTGCTTTCTTCATTGAAAGCCCCAAGAGCTCCATAAAGGCCAGTAACCCTTTAAAACTGAGATCTCTGAAAGTCAACTTCATGGAGGAGGACACCAGCACGTTAGTACCAGCACCAAAYGTACTGAGAACGTACCCAGAGCCTCTCAAGAGCCGGGGAGCTGCTGCTGCTGCCACAGACAGTTCCTTTCTCCCTGACAGGTCTCTGATGAGCCCAGAAACCTCCATCTACACCACTGCGAGTGCCAGAACCCCCCCAAAGTCACCGGAGGCGCAGGCAGCCATAGCTTTCAACTTCCACGATGCCGGGATTCACAAATACATCGATGCTGACACTGATGACGAAGGGCAGCTGATGTACGATTCGAGTCCTCCCGCGAGTATGAGTCCCAAGTACAGTGCTGCAAACAGTGGCTATCTAAAGCAAAAGGACCATGGTTATAGAACAGAGAAGAACCATCTAGAAGCTGCTGCTTTACCCACCTCCCCTAAGCTGATAGGGCAGAACTGCATTTACTCTATGGAAGGGATCACTGGAAGAACCCAGGGCAATCAGGAGACTGTCAGACTAGAAAATCACATTTCCCCAGAAGTCCATGTATTACCAGGCAGCGGAGGACATGCTAACACACATGATCAAAGCATCTGAGGTGGGGTCCAAAAGAACTTCCTGAGAGTTTAAAGGAATATCTTCACAGTCAACACAAACAAAAGAGCTTCTGCATGGCATGAACTTGGCTGAAACAAGCCACCTRTTTCTAAAAGTCTGGGGGAGGTCCAGTGTGGGTTTGTGAAAATGTCCTTTTCTGAAACAACTCTAAAGACATTGCCCACATCAGTCAAAAAATGATTGCAAATCATGATCACACATTGATCTCCTTTCATGTTGTCTGGTGAAGCCAATGTGACCAAATATCCATCCATTCCCCTTGAATGCTAGAGCTCCTTTTGGAAATATTAACATCTGATTTGCATTAGTTCCATAAAGGATGCCAAGGCAGCCAGATTTGAACTCTGGAATAAATTGCTGGGGTTGGTATAAAGCTTTCAAAAACACAATGTTCACTGCTTCAGGGCAGTTGTTCCCCATCTACAGCTTTTTCTGATGGATATTGTGTCTAAAGGTAACAGGGAGCACTTGCATTATTGGAAAATCCAGGCGAAAAGCATTTGAAACAAATAACGGTCTAGAGAAACCAATTTTTAAAATGCTCTTTGTGTGTTTAACAATCTGATATCCTGTAGGACCTGACGCTTTCTTTTGAAATATCAGCAGGGTGAGTTGCACCACTTGTATCTTCCCAAACATGCCCTTAGACACAGTGAGCCCTGCCCTTACCCTCTGCTCGCAGGCACCACTGCCCAGAGGGGCCACACTGGGATGGTGTGGAGGAGCCGTGCAGAAGGACTGTCCTGTGGAGAGGAGGAGCACAGGATCTGCTCCGGAGGGAGACRGGGCTGGARGGGGAGCCCGGCCSGAGCTGTGGCTGTGGCCAAAACCCTGGGCTGAMATAASASSSMGGCTCTTGCCCTGGGGTGCCCAAACACAGAGCTGTGGCTGTGGCCAAAGCCCTGGGCTGGAATGAGAGCCTGGCTCTTGCCCTGGGCTGCCCAAACACAGAGCTGTGGCTGTGTCCAAAGCCCTGCGCGGGAAGGAGAGCCTGGCTCTTGCCCGGGGCTGCCCAAACAGAGAGCCGTGGCTGTCCCAGCAGGGACCGTGGCTGTGGCCGGAGCCCTGGGCTGGAAGGAGAGCCTGGCTCTTGCCCTGGGCTGTCCGAGCACGGAGCTGTGGCTGTGGCCAAAGCCCTGCCTGCCCTGCGCTCCCTTCCTGCCATCTCCAGGCGCAGCCCGAGTCTCACCCGTGCCGCAGGAGAGGTCCGGAGCTTTTTGCGCCCGAGCGGCGCGGTGAAAGATATGCAAGTGTTACATAAATATGCAAAAAGAGGGATTTGTTAGTGACCCGTGCCAGGCCTGGCTGTGCTCCCTCTCGCCAGAAGGCTCCTGCAGGGCCSTGGCACGAAGAGCTGCGAGAGGCAGAAGAATCAGGCCTGATGTTTTAATAACATCCWGTCATTTTTAAATGAAACTAGAAAAAAAAAGAGGAAAAAAAAATCTGACCATTTTAAGTGAACAGAACTAGCAGCCACCAGCCTAGGTTTTTAAAATACTATTGTTTCAATAAAGGTATGTCAAATTGTGTAGGAAATAATTTGTCTTTGGTTTTTAATCTCGGGGGGGAAAAAGCACTTTACGTTGACTTTTTGTTGTCGTTGTTGCAATGCTGGAGTAGGATAGCAGAGTGTAACAATCAAGCACTTTAACCAAGCACTACTTTAATTTGTGCCTCTTGTTGTGACTGTGACTTGCTGCACGCCTGTAGCGAGTCACAACTCGTCCTGTGATAACTGTGATGGTATGATTTCTGTTGTGCTCCGTTTCTACTGTCAAACTCAGCTGTAAATAACTCTGTCAGGAGCGTTTCTGCCCTGTCCTGAGTTCTGCCGGGCTGTGCAGCACGGTGCAGGCAGCGGCTCCAGGGCTGGACGAGCAGAGGGGCAGCGCTGGGGAAGAGCCCCCAAAGCCACTCGAGTCCGCTGGGTTTTGTTCCTCCCATTGTGCAAATCCAAGTGTTGGTCAGTCCTGAATGTGCCGTGTGTCCGTCCCGCCGTGCACCGTCTGTGACCGTAACAGTGAATGCAGCACGGACGGACTAAAGCAATAAGCAATATCTGCTTGGGAGCTCAGATGGGTGAAGGTGGCTTTGTCAGGTTCTCCTTGGCACAGAACGGTGCCCACAGTGCAGTGACTCTGCTC